ATCATTATACAGTATAAATAGAGTAATCTAAATATTATCATTATACACAAATATTTTTAGTATATAGTATAGATATAGATATAGATATAGAAGTATAGATATAGATAGGGTGCTTTTAGATATCTTTCGCAGAAAATATATCTCTCATATTTATTAGCCAATAGCGAGCCACAATTTGGTATAACGTAATATAATTAGAAACTTTCAAAACAAATGTTAGTTCAAAGAAAAAAACATCTATTTCTCAAAAAAACGTATAAGAAACCTTCTTTTATGCATTAACAAAAAGTTTTCTTTAGACGAATTTATATATATTTCTTTTATTCTTAACTCTAAATTAAATATTATTCTAATATAAATAAACTTTAAGAAATTTTGGGAGATGTATATTCCACAGGAGATGGCTATAATTTTCCATATAGATATAGATATAGATATTCAAGAAATTCACAAATATTTATAAAGAATTTGCAGATATTCAAAGATTTGCAAATATTTATAGAAAATTTGCAGATATTTAAAGAATTCACAAATATTTATAAAGAATATACAGATATTTAGAAAATTCATAAATATTTATAGAAAATTTGTAAATATTTAATGAATTTATAATTTTTATAGAATATTTAGAGAATTTGCAATTTTCATAAAAAATTCACAAATATTCAAAGAATTTGTAAATATAATATGATTATATTTCTTATATATAGGAATATAGTAAAATGAAATATAGATTGCTTATATTTTATCAAGTTTTGTTATAAGTATTGTTAGTATCACTATTTTAGCCTAAGTTTTTTTTATTATTCTCACTCAGATTAACTTTATTGATAAAGATACAATATAGGAGTAGTGCTATACTATAGCTTTTAAGCTAATATACTTTCAAATATAAAGACAACTATAATCTAATCAGATATTATATATTAGTTATATAATAAAAACAAAAGAGAATCAAAACTTAAGCATATACATAGCATACTATGATAATGCATTTCTAAATATAACAAAAGATCTTATATATATTTCTCACTCATCTTGCTTTCATTGCTTTTACTTTTTTTGCTTTTTCTATATTTGTTACTTCTTCTTGCTTCTTCTTGTTTTTTGGCTTTTTCTATTTTATCAGCTTTATTAACTTTTTCTACTTCTTTCACTTTGTCAGCTTTTTCTATTTTGTTTGGTTTGTCAACTTTTTTTAGCTTTTCAAGCTTCTCTGGCTTCTTTAGCTTTTTTTTTATTAGCTTCTTTGGCTTCTTTTATTTTTTTAGCTTCTTCTACTACTATTTCTGCTTTTTGTCTTACTTTCTTATTAATTTAACCTACTAGTACATATTCATTTTTGATTTATTTCTTTGCCTATATTTACCAAATTCATAATTCTCTCTTCTTTTTTAAGTAGCAAATATAAGCCTATGCTATGATATGATATATTTTACTTGCTATACATATGTTATATTTCTTAAAAGCATATAGTCTTTTCTATACTAAACTATTATAAAATTTTAAATTTTGGGTTGATTATATCTAGAATTCATTATATAGAGATTTTTTATATTCAGAGTAAACTATATATATATATATTGCAGCAAGCTATACCTATTTATAATGGAATCCTTTTAATTTATCAACAATTATTTCACTGAATGATCATTTAGCTGACATTACATAGGGTTAAGGTTAAATATTTTATTAATTGCAGATATATGTGATGAGTCAGTAAAAAAAGGACAAATCATTTTTAGTAAAATTTTTTTAATTTTTAAATTAAAATATCTTAACAATTATTTAATCAAGTTTGCTAAAAATTTTTTTTATTTTAATCTTGAAATTATATAGAATTAAAATAAAAAAAAATTTATTAAATTTAATAA